CCTGCTGATAATACAGGGTGGCGAATTTCATGTTAATTCCTGGAAAGAGGGTGTAATGTGGTGGTACAGTCTTGGTTGAAAGCTTAGGTGAAATATGTGTGCTCACCTGCCTTTTGTTGTTGAGTGCTGTTCAGTGATCCATAGGAATGAGATAGCATACATCAGTGTCATCTAGGCTTCAAACCCTCCAATGGCTTGGAGAAGCGACAAGAGTAAGAGAGAAATACATTACAGAGTTGGTGGATTTGAATTTTGGAAAAAAAGACGATTAGGAAATAACCTGTATTTATCACGGCATATTTGTGTTACCTTAGATGTGTTACCTCTGGGAATGAAGCTGTGTGAGAAGTGTCGTTCAAAGAATTATGTGCAGCAGGAAGTGCAAAATGATGGCCTCACCATCCTGGGGTTGGATTCAAAAGATTGAAGAGTGACGCCATAATTTTGGGGTCTCGAAATGAGAATTCGGGGGACAACAGGGGATTGCCTGACAAGAACAGTGTCAAATCACTCACACTCTCATCATGGACACCATCTCTCCCTACCCTATGTTCATGACACCCACTGTATTGAAACGGAGCAGTGTGGTCTACATGTGAGTTCCAGAGCAGAGGTATCATCTATATGCTCATCTACCCTTATTGTTGTGGGAAGACACAGTATCAGTAGGAATAGAAAGAGAGACTGACGTTGATGGACCACGTCCTGGTATTATTCTGATGTGGGGAGTGGAGGGAGCAGATGGATGTGGATGTTGGGGAGGATGGTGAACATAAAATCCTAGGAGAGAAGCTGATCATGGGCTGTACTGTCCCCCTTATGACAGGATATGAACTTTGAGGACGTAGCCGTTGCCTTCTCTCAGGAGGAGTGGGGGCTCCTTGATGAGGCTCAGAGACTTCTGTACTGCAAGATGATGCTAGAAGTTTTTGCACTGGTATCATCTGTAGGTAAGACCTTCAAAATTCTCCTAGTGTCCTGAGGTGATGTCTTCTCTTCCTTTGTTTTCTCTCTCCCACAGCCAGACCATGGGCTCTGCTAGTTTTCCCCACTGTCCTGTCCAATGTGCTGTGGCTGAGAGTGCTGAGTGATTTGGAGAGACCCGAGCAAAGGACACCATGAATATCCCTGACACCCATAGCCTCAAATAGGGCAGGAAGCGCTGGGAGTCAGGATTGTGGCAAACAGCTCAATGTGTCCAAGCTTGCCTTTCTCTTCCTGGAGGGTGTCTACGTTCACAGCCACTCTGACCCCTTCCTCAGCTAAAGGCTCTTTGTGACTGACTGTGCCAGGTTATGGTCTTTGCTTGCATGAATCTTGGGTAGTTCTTGTAAGACCCTCCTTCCATTATTTGTAATATTCTGATACCTTGATACTGTTACATGCTGTGTTCATCAAGGCCAGTGCTGGCTCCACATCTCTGTTGTCTTTCAGTCAAACTCAGGATATTTGTGTTCTCAGTGCTTGTACAGTAGAAGGTGCAAGGAGAACCCTGGTTTTTTCACAGAGGGAAATTGCAAGATGGCCTGGCCATGTTGAGGTGCACACGGGAGGAGCTTTGTCCTAAGGGTTGTGTTTGGAGAATGCCAGGGACCTGCTCATGTTCAACAGCATTTACTAGTAGGTTCAAGTGCCACTTGCTGCATCTCATTTCTACATTTTCATTCCCATGTTTGACACTTTGCTGCCGTGTCTTTTAATCTGTGACTTCCGGCTTTCTAGCTACCTTCACCTTCTTGCCCTTTTTCCATCACCTGTTCCTCTGAACTGCTCGATCTGCAGTATTCTCAAATATTGACCTGTACATGTGTTATGCGGTGCACAGATGTGCTTCAGTAGACCCCGACACACGCTTCTCATTTCTTGAATGTTACTTGCGATAAGATGTAAGCAACCTTCGGCTCAGCTTGCCCATGTCACCCGCTGACAAGCTCTGTTGAACACGGATAGCAGAGGCATGAGCAGACTATCCAGCTTTTGTTCCATGTGGTGCTTGCCATGTTTGTCTCATTTTTTGTGTGATCTTCTCTGTTTTGTGAGCTTCAGTGACCACGATCTTCACAGCAGCATCTTATATATTGTTCCTCCAGATGTTACTGTCAGACAATTGCATGTAACCAACATGTTATGTGGGACACATTTTTGTATTGACACTTCAACATTCATTTCATCATCATTTTTTGTTTTCAGGTTGTGGGCATAAAATGGATGATGTGGAGGCCTGTTCTGAACAGAGTGTATCTGTACAAGTGGAGGCACAGGTCAGGGTTTCTGAGACAGAGCCAGCAACCCAGAGGACCCATGTGTGTAAGCGGTGTTTCTCTCTGTTAAAAGACATTCTGCACCTGACTGAGTCACAGGCAGCATACGTTGAGCAGAAAGCCTTCTTCAGTGACGCATATATGAGAGACTTCCTTTTCAGTGCAATCCCTCACCTGCAACAGAGGGAAGCCAGTGGAGAGAAGCTCTGGAAAGAAGTTGTGCACATGGCCTCGTTAGTGACCAGGTGTAGCTTCAACATATCAGGGCAGTCTTCATCCAGTAGGGAGGGTGGGGAAGACTTCCCAGCCATCTCAGAGCATGTCCAGCACCAGGGCCTTCTCCACACTGAGGAGCCACACAGTCGTAGTAACATAGGAGAATTCATGCTGTAGAAAAGTCCTATGAATGCACTGACTGTGGGAAGCTGTTCAATGACAGGTCTACCCTCACTGAACACCACAGAGTTCACACTGGAGAAAAACCATATGAGTGTAGTGATTGTGGGAGGTCATTCAGGAAAAAGTCCACTCTCACAGAGCACCACAGAGTTCACACTGGAGAAAAACCATATGAGTGTAGTGATTGTGGGAGGTCATTCAGGAAAAAGTTCGCTCTCACAGGGCACCACAGAGTTCACACTGGAGAAAAACCATATGAGTGTAGTGATTGTGGGAAGTCATTCAGGCAAAAGTCCACTCTCACATTGCACCAAAGAGTTCACAGTGGACAAAAGCCATATGAGTGTAGTGATTGTGGTAAGTCATTCAGGCATAAGTCCACTCTCACAGGGCACCAGAGAGTTCACACTGGAGAAAAGCCATATGTGTGTAGCGATTGTGGGAAGTCATTCAGGCATAAGTCCACTCTCACAGAGCACCAGAGAGTTCACACTGGAGAAAAACCTTATATGTGTAGTGAATGTGAGAAGTCATTCAGGCATAAGTCCAATCTCACATTGCACCAGAGAGTGCACACTGGAGAAAAGCCATATGAGTGTAGTCATTGTGGGAAGTCATTCAGGAAAAAAATAAGGCTTACAGAGCACCAGAGAATTCACACTAGATAAAAGCTGTATGAGTGTAGTAAGTGTGGGAAGTCCTTCAGCAGAAGCTCTACTCTCATTTGACATCACAGAGTTCACACTGGAAAAGGGCCTCATGAGTGTATTGAATGTGGGAAATCATTTCACCATAAATCTGTCCTCCTTTAACACTTGAGAGTACACACAGGAGAAAAGCTTTAAATGTGCAGGGAATTTTTTATCTTTCTCACTCAGAATAGCAACACTGAAGGAGAAGCATTTACCCCCATTTACCTGAATAGGATCCCCTTTCATCAGAACGTACACTCTGCTACATTCCTCCTAAGTTTCAGGTACAATTGAGGTTTTCAGAAACTACATTGCACCTGCTAACCTAGTCAGGCCTACGACCTGATTGATGTCCCTGTGAGTATTTGTGTACAAATGATCTTACGTCTACCATCTGGCTCACCTATATAGTGTGCATCCGTCACAATGCTTGCATAATCTGGGGTTGTCCTTGAGAAAACTATGAATATTCGAAGCTCCTGGCTGGATCTTCATTCCTTTATTTCTGACCAGAGAATTGACCTGACCCAGGTTTCATCCAGAGCACCCTCCTCAGCTAAGTGCTTCCTCTTTCAGGGACATTGTGGGTCTCACATTGTGCTGAGAGGAAGTGTTTCAGGTTCCAATTCATCAACCTGCAAACCTGGTGCTATCCTCTGGTTTATTATCTTTATGTAAAGTTGTTTTTCCTTTAATTTTATTGGTTCTGTTCTCTTCCTGGGATGATTGAAAGGAAAGGTGTGATGTGTCAGCATGGAAATGTGAACAGATATGATG